GGCGGCTGTGTGCCATCCCCACCTCTGTGCCGGCCCTACGTCCAGAGGGTCAGACTTGGAGAGGCCTGCAGGGGCTAGAGTGGTCATCCACGGCTCTACTTGAGGGCAGAGGACAGGAGGGCAGTGTAGTGGGGCTCTCGCCGGCCCACTCCCCTCCCCAGCTCAGGATACCTGGAGGCCCTTTTGTGAATGGAGCAACAGAGCCAGCTTCCCCAGAAACAAATGTAGGAAAAACCCAATGGATGCTTCACACTAGTCAATCTTAACAAGAGCCAGGGTCACTTCGCCCACTGGCAAGAGTATCCAAGAGTCTCTGGACCTACAAGTGCAGGTGGATATCACATGAACTCAGGGGGAGTTTAGCAAGGGCAGAGCAACCTCTCCTGGAGCCCATGACCAGTGCCTTCCCCCGGTTAGAGTGCCTGGCTCTAACAGGGCCCCAGGAAGGCACAAGGCTTGTCTTAGAGGAAAACACGTGGCACCCTTAACCCAGAACGATTATTTTATTCAATAACTGCTGATGAGTGAATTTCCTCCTTCCCTCAACCAGGCTAGAAAAACATCTGATGGGAACTGCACGGCCTCCATGGGGGAAGCCCAGCTGGTAGGCAGTTAGGTCGGCAGCAATGGAGACATAGCCCAAGGCCCTGTTCTGTATCATACACGGGGGAGGAGAGACTAGAGAGATGAGAGTGGGATAAACACAAGGCCAGAAACCCCACAGGGGCCCTGATACTGGCCTGGTGGGTGGAGGAGAGGAAGGCAGTCCCAGCTGCGGCCTCAGGTATCTTGCTCTGGTTCATGCTGCCCCCTGTTGGCTGCTGCCACTGCTATCATATCCCTTCAAATTCTACTATATGTCCCTGTCTGGTCCCTGTCTTAGGACCACCAGGGGCCTGAAAGCCCTACTTGGGAATGTCCTTCAATGTGGGGGCATTGTGGAACATCCTGATGGGACTCTCCCACCTCACAATCTATTCACTCTCATCAAGATAACCTGGAGCCCAACTTGGTGAGCTATAGCCCAGCTAAGATGACAGCAAAGTTCTTGCTCTGGAGGCAGATCTGCAGAGAGTGGGTCAAGTCTAACTGCTCCCAATGTCTCATGAGGATGAGGATCCTTGGTTCCCCAGACCAGGCCCAGGAGCTTCCTACGTCCCTTCTGCTGAGGTGTGAAGGGGCTTGGCCCAGCCACGGTGTTCTGGACACATTTGCCATGTGCCCTCTGAAACCCCTGTGGCCCAGCCCTTCAGTCTATCAGTCAGCCTTGGATGATCAGACCAGCCATGTGCCTTCAGATGAGGGTGGCGGCAGGTCACACACGCCTGTGAAGGTGAGATCCTTGGAGTGAGGGGCTGGTGCCTCACAGCACTTCTGTGCTCCCAGCAAGGTCTGTGCCTTCGATACTCCAGCCAAGTAGATCTCCAGGGTCTTGAGCAGCCGCCTTGGGCTCTTCTTGGCCAACACTTCCAAGTCTGGAAAAGAGAGCACTGGGAACACAGTCCAGGACCTAGCAGCTCTAAGGAGTACCCCCAGCCCAGATCCTATGAAGAAAAGGTGAAGGAGACTTCCAAGATGGGGCGCTTATCACAGAAGGAGATCAAGGAACCAGAGAGACCACACACACTACCTTGTCGAGGGCAACTGCGACTTTGAATAGTCTACTGTCCGACCCAGCTTTTGATTCAGAAAATACGATTACCGTAGGTTTAAGTGCAGAAAGCAGGGAGAGGGTGGCGGAGAAAGGAGAACTAGCTCCAGAGGGTGGGCTGGAAGGGAACCGTAGCCAAAACCAGCGTAGCCACCACTCTGAGGTCGCTGGGCCTGCAGACACCAGGAGTTCTGGAGCTAGGCCTCCCGGGAGAAAGAGCATACCTTTGAGGACAAAGCCTGAATCTAAGATGGTCTTCTGCTGCGTCCTCCAGACATGAGCGAGGTGGAGGAAAGTGGCGGCATAGAAGCTGTTCACCACTGGGATCACCTTCTGCTGCCGATTGCACTCCCTGCAGGATAAGGGAGGTGATCAGCTCAGCAGTGGACAAAGGCTGACATTGGACACCCTCCCCAACTATTCCCCCAGGGGAGCCATTCCCCAGGCAGCCTTTACATCTGAGGTCAGGGCTGGGGAGGAGGGATGGGCTAGGATGCACCACTCGTACTACTGGTGGTGCATGGGGACTTTGCCTAGTGCCCACAGAAGCCTGCAGGTGGGGAAGAAAGCTGGGGAGAATGAGACACGCAGGGAGGGAACCAGGCTCTGCTGGGTCCCTCTATTCAGCTGGTGGGGGGCAGGAGGTGGGGGGGGTAAGTGTGGGGACTCACCTGGAGAGACACTCCTCTCTTAAGGCCTGGATTGCAATGCGGGTGATATTCACGGACATCAAACAGAAGGGGAATTGCTGGAATGGAAGTGGTACCAGGTCAGTGGCAACCTATGTCTTGCCCTCTGTGTTTCCCAACTTCCACAGCCTAGCCTGGCCTGCAGGCGATAACAAGTCATAGCCCAGCAGTAGCAATATTATGGATGCTTATACTTGATTTTCACAGGGATCTTCTTCCCATCTTACAGATGAGGATACTGAGGCTTGGTGACCTTAAATATCTTTCCTGCCCTAGCTGGTTTGGCTCAGTGATTAGAGCGTTGGCCCGTGGACTGAAGGGTCTTGGGTTCAATTCCGTCCAAGGGCATGTACCTCGGCTGCAGCCTCAATCCCGGGCCCTGGTTGGTGCGCAAGCATGAAGCAACCAATTAATGTCTCTCACATCGATGTTTTTCTCTTTCTCTCCCTTCCACTCTCTCTGGAAAAAATATCCTTGGGTAAGGATAAAAAAAAAAAATCCTTCCTATGGCAGTGCAACCAGGATTCCAACTAGGTTAATTCACTCCAAAGCTGGTTTGCATAACCCCTGGGAGAGCTCTCCTGCCTCTTCAACATCCCGACCCATTAGCTCTCCTTGGCCTCCCCCAGAGCTACCCATGTGCCACCCATGGACCACAACGAATGCCCCCTGGGGTTAGGATGAACACAAGAGAGTGAGGCCCAGGTATCTAACTAACTATATAGGTTCTTCAAATCTCTTCCTCCCTTCTCTAGGCTTCTGGTTATTTGACTGTTCATAAGTACTTCATCCCGAATCAGACAGAGAAGGTGCCAGTAATTGGAAAGTTAGCCTTGACTTGCTGGCCAGCCCATCTCTCAGTAACAGAGAGGCTGAGAACCAGCTGTGCAGGCCAAACTCCTGAGAGGGGAAAGCATGAAGTCCAGCCGGGCACTTCACCAGGATGAGCCCCAGACTCCCTTGCAGGGTCCACCTCAATGCTTTATTTTTAGAGGACCAAATTCCTTCCTATTTAAAAACAACAATGCACACAAAAGTAAGCAAAGGAAAGCTTTTTGCAGGGAATTTGCAGATATTACATGTTTGCACTGTTGCACACTCACAAGGGCATCCACTGAGAGTGACCCACAGGTCAGTGCACTCCGTAGCGTAGAACAGGAGTCAGTCTCTTCATCCCATCTACTTCCCCCAGGAAGAAAACTCATTACGTTATGATGTACTGTGCTGCTGAGTATGGTAGCAACTAGCCACATGTACCTATTTAAATTAATTGAAAATTAAATAAAATTTTAGCCCGGCCGGGCATGGCTCAGCGGTTGAGCGTCGACCTAGGTGATCGGGGTTCGATTCCCGGTCAGGGCACATGCCCGGGTTGTGGGCTTGATCAATGACTCTCTCATCATTGATGTTTCTATCTCTCTCTCTCCCTCTCCTTTCCTCTCTCTGAAATCAAAGATATATTTAAAAAAATAAATAAAATAAAATTTTAAAAGCAACTCTTAGTCATCCTAGCAGTATTTCAAGTGCTCAGTAGCTACTTGTGCTTTGCTGCTGTATTGGACAGTGCAGATCTTGAGTATTTCCATCACTGCAGAAGGTTTTGACAGCACAGACTGAACTATAGAGGAACCTTCTGGTTCCACAAAAATTTTTCTCAGGGTCTTCCATGTCACCTGGATTCCAGATCTTGGCCTGGCCACCTGCTAGCTGTATGTCCTCAGGAAGGCAACCCAAATTCTATGAGACTCAGCTTTCCTATCTCTCAAAATCAAAAAGGAAATACACTTTGCGTTAATACAGTGGGCCTGAGACTGCTGTCCTTAGAAAGGCCTATGTACAAGGTTAGCCCTTGGCTGGCATCTGGGAACTTGGATTTCGAGAGACTCTCACCATTCCCTCAGGATGATTCACTGTGCTTAAACTCTTTGTGCAAATAATATAGTTTATGTTAAACACCTGCTTTCCCTCTGTGATTCTGCAATTCTGGTATATGCTAGACAGATGGGGCCTGAATGACCAGCCCTCAATAAAAACCTTAGGTACTGAATTTCTAATGAGCTCCCCTGGTTGGCACCATTTCATTTGTTGCACAATTTGATGCTGGAGGAATTAAGTGTGTCTTGTGGATTCCACTGGGAGAGGACTCTTGGAAGCTCACACCTGGTTTCCTATGGACTTTGTTCCCTGCACTTGTTCCCGTTGCTGATTTTGCTTTGGCTGTACTAAATCTAACTGTGAGTATGACTCACTGCCAAGTCCTGTGAGTCCTCCCAGTGAATCAGAACCTGGGGGCTCCTGGGGACCCTGATACAAGTGCCATGCTGGATGGAGTCAAGGTGATAATCATTACAAAAATTCTACAAGATAGGTTTTATTATCTATGGTTTACATTTTCTATTATCCCACAACCTACCTCACAGAGCTGTTCTAAGGAGTAATTTAGACCACATATGCAAAATACTAAGCACAGCACCAGCCTAAGTAGGTGCCCCTGACTAAATAGGAATGGCATGTTTTAAAAATTCTTGTGCTGCCCTGCTAGTGTGGCTCAGAGGTTGAGCATCAACCTATGATCCAGGAGATCGCAGTTCGATTCCCAGTCAGGGCACATGCCCGGGTTACAGGCTCGATACCTGGGTTGCAGGCTCGATCCCCAGTGAGGGGCATGCAAGAGGCAGCTGATCCATGACTCTCTCATCACTGATGTTTCTATTTCTCTCTCCACCTCCCTTCCTCTCTTTGAAATCAATAAAGATATATTTAAAAAAAAAAATTCTTAATGGTAACGGTTGAAAATTGCTGCCCTAGACTATTCTCAATATGGCAGCTCATAGGATCCATTTAAAAAATTTTAGTTGGATCATGTGTTCCAAGCTGCTGAAAACCCTCATTTTGCTCAGGGAAAAATCAAAAGTCCTTATCATACCTACTAAGCACTACATCATCTGGTCCCTGTTACCCTCCAACCTCCTTTCCTACTGCATTCCCATTTTTCTTCTGCTCCAGCTGGCTTCCCTGCTATTCCTTCACATGCCAGACACACTGTCTCCTCAGGCCCTGTGCTGTAGCTGCTCCCTCTGTATGGAATACTCTTCCCCCAGAAACCAGCTTGGCTAACATCTTCACCTCTTCAAGGTTTGGTTTAAGTCTCGCCCTCTCATGAGAGCTAACCTTGACCACCCCATAAAATACAGTACCCCCCACCCCACATTCTCCAAACCTCACCCCACCTGTGCTTTTTCCTTAGCACTCATCACCTTCTAACATATCCTATAGTGTATTATGTGTTATGCTTACTGTCTTGTCTTCTCTGCTGAAAGTATCTTTGTCTTTTGCTCACTGATGTGTCTCAAGCATCAACAGCAATAACTAGCACAAGAGGTGCTGAATATTTAGTTAATGAATTCCAGGTCTCACAAATCTGGGAGATGCATGACAAGAAACAGGTCAAATTCATTTTCTAAAATGGAGGGACTACCTACCACCTTTTACTAACTGGGAAAACCATAAAACCCAAGCCCAGAGAGCAGGCCTGGACAGAGACTGAGGGCTACAGAAGCCACTTCTGGCCTGTCAGTAACTCCACGTGTCACCTGACCCTTGGAGGCAAACATTCTTCTATGGGGCACACAAAGGTGGACTCTCCTCCTTCAGGCTCAGGTATTTCCTCAGAGAGGGTGGCGAGTAGAAACACTAACATCACAATTGTGCCCAGTGCTTTTGTACATCATCTCCTTTAATTTTCCCAACCATCCAGCTGAGGTTTCCATGATTTCCATTCAAAAGATGAGGCAACCGAGGCTCTGGGGAATTGAGGTAATGCTTGAAACAAATGCTAATGAGTTGTAGAGCTCAGATTCCAGCACTGACAGGGGAGACCATTCTTGGTTTGCCTCAGCCCTCCTAGAGCTCTCAGCAATTAGAGATATTTACCCACGAGGCCCGCTGGCTTCTCAAAGAGCCCTGTGCCCAGGTCCTAGCTCCACAGCCCTCTCTGCTGGCTTTCTGCCAAAGCCCCACCTGGATATGGTGATGAGACAGGTGGAAAATCTCCTGGGCCATCAGCAAGGTCTTTGAGTCCATCACCAGGTACAGCAGATGCAGTAGGGCAAGGAAGCCTGCTCCTCTCAGGTCTGTAGCTGGATTTGCTCCTATAACAGAAACCATAAGGAAATTGAGGGTGATGGGGAACAATGATGAAATTCCTGTGAGCTTCAATGACTTAGTTATTGGCCAAGTGGAGAGCCTAGGCTTCCTCTGACTGTAACAAGATGCCCCTTAGCAGGGCAGTCAGAAAAGTGAGGCTTTATTCTTTCCTGGTGCTATGTAGCCCCCCATCCACTCTGGGAGTGTCAGTGGAAGTAAAGTGGATGTCCGTGGAGGCTACATGGGAACAGTAATGAGACACCCCTGCCCTTCCCAGCCAGTGGTATTAGTGGAGGCCAAGTGGGGTAACTGGGTTTCCTACCTGGCAGTAATGAGGTGACACCCCTTCCCCCCTGGCTCAATATCAGCGGAGGCCTGCTAAAATAGAAGACTTAAAGAAGATCCAGAGTCTCACTACACAATACCCAAAATGTCCAGGACACAATTAAAAAATCACTTGTTAAACAAAGAACTAGAAAAATCTCAATTTAGGTGAGAAAAGACAATCAGTAGATAGCAACACTGAGATAACAGAGAGGTTGGAATTATCTGATGATTTTAAAGCAGGTGCTGTAGGCAGAATAATGGCCCCTCCAAAGATGCCGGTCCTCATCCCCAGAACCTATGTATCTGTAATGTTGCAGGCCAAGGGGCAATTAAGAAGCAGGTAGAATTAAAGTTGCTAATTAGTAGATAAGAAGATTATTCTGGATTATCTGGTGGGCCCAATGTAAAAAGTGAAAGAGGGAGGCAGAAAAAGAGATATGAGAACAGAATCAGGCTCAGAGAGATGCTATGAAGGAGGAATGCAGGCAACCTCTAGAAAAAGGAAGGGAAACAGATTCTCTCCTGAAGTCCCCCAAAAGAATGCAGCTCTGCTGCCACCTTCATCTTACCCCAGTGAGACCTGGTTCGGACTTCTGAACTACAGGACTAACCAATTTGTATTGTTATAGCTACTAAACTTGCAGTAATTTGTTGCAGCAACAATAGAAAACTACCATTGCAGCTATAATAAAAATGCCTTTGGTAAGAAATTACTAACACACTTAGAAAAGAAATGAAAAACTGAAAGTCTCAGTAAAGAAGTATCAGATATAAAGAACCAAATAGAAACTTTAGAACTAAAAACATAACTAAAATTAAAAACTCACTGGATGGGATCAACAGCAGAACAGAGATAACTGGAAAGAATCGGTGATCTTGAAGATGGAACCATTTAAATTAACTAATCTGAACAACAGAGAGGAAAAAACAAAACAAAATGAACAGCACCTCAGAGATCTATGAGCTATGGACAGCGCCTGTGGGACCTGTGGAACAATAACAAAAGACGTAGCATTTGTGTCATCAGAGTCCCACAAAAGAGGAGAAAGTGTGGTGATGAAAAAGTACTCAAAGTAATAATGGATGATAATTTATCAAATTTGGCAAAAGACATAAACGTACAGATCTAAGAAACTAAGCAATCCCTAAATGGAATAAGCTGAAAGATATCCACACCAAGCAAGACACATCATCATCAAACTGCGGCAAACTAAACACCAAAAAAACAGAGAAAAACAACTTAACTATCAGGCAGAAATAATTCAAATGGCAGGAGCCCATGAAGGCCAAATGGAGATAGCACACTTTTCAAGTGCTGAAAAAGAACTGTCAATCTGGAAGTCTATATCCAGAGAAAATACCCTTTATGAGTAGGGGAAAAATCAAGCCATTCTCAGATGAAGGAAAACTAAGAGAATCTATCCCCAGTAGACCTACGTAAGAAAATGGCTAAAGAATGTTTTGAACAGAAAGGAAATGATAAAAGAAGGTATCCTGGAATATCAGAAAGGAAGAACGAACAGTGGAAAGAGTAAATATATGCGTAAATACAACGGACTTTGCTCCTCCTCTTGAGATTTTTAAGTTGTTTAATGGCTGACACAAAAATCAAACACTCATGTGATTTTCGACATATACAAGGAAATATTTAAGACAATTACATATGAGGGAGGAAAAAGGGACTTAAGCATATTGTCAGTGCCAACAGACTGTCAATTAATTATGGGCATATAAAGTTTCCTTTAAAATTAAGATATTTTCCTATTCTATGCAAGTATAATTTTGCATGATTTTGAAAAAAGGTAGCACAATCCAAAAGCAGGTGAAATCATTTTGTTTCACTCAAAAATAAAATAAAATCAATATTCATCAATATTAATGGAAAAGAGGAAAAAGAAAAAACCAGATTTCAAATCATATCACTCAATGGCTTCCACCTCACTTAGAGTATTTTACAATGGTCTGCAAGACCACAAGTGAACCTTTCTATCGCCCTCTTCTCCACTTCAGCCACACTATTTCTGTAACAGAGTCATGCTTGTCAGGGCTTTTGCATTTGCTCTACCCTCTTCCTGGAATGCTTTCCCAGACATCCTGTCTCATGGTGATGGCATGACAGGGAGACCCTGGGATCTCACTCTAGTCCTGGAATCAGGGGTCCAGAAAAAGAAGATGAACCATTCCTCTCTTACCCTGAAAGCCCAGATCTTCCCAGTGATCTCCTTGGAGGGCACAGTCAAACTTGGAGCCAGTCAGCTTCTTATAGATGGTCTGGAGGACTCGGCCATGCACTGGGTCTTGGCTATCCAGGCCACCTGCTCCAAAACACACCCATGCTCTCTGTTGGACTGCCCTTCAGGAGAGGACTGAGTGCTTCTCAAGGTAGATCTAGACTGTACTCAAGACACCCTGTTCTCCCAGACTTTTACCCCTCAGTTCCTGCTCCCCACGCCAGCATGGAAAATGCAAGACCCTTGGGTGAGGCTTAGTAACAGGGTAGGCAAACAGTGCACTCTGCCTGACCTCATATGCAGCACCTGCTCTGTTGCAGCACCAGTGCACTCACACTGAGCAATAGTGAGGACCAAGTCCCTTTCTTCACGGAGACCCTGGTGGAGCTTTGGAGGACCGAAGAGGCAGTGCCGGAGGGCAGCAAGCCCAGTCCTTCGAATTGTTGGCTGGATTCTTTTCTGGGGAGAAAGTTGCAGGTAATGGGTAGTGTGTAGGGTTCACCTGCTTTAATGAACTTGTCATTGGGCTGAGTACAGAGACCATTCTTGCACAAAGAAGTAGATCCCCTAATTAAGTGGCTGGTCTCCAGGCCAGGGAAAGAGGGCAGAAACTATGAAGCATCTCTGGAATCTCTGGAGACAGGCTCTCCCAGCTCCCAGGTTCTTTGTAAACAGAGAGAGATGTCCCCAAGCATAGGCATTATCTGTCAGTTGTCTACATTTGGTCCTTTGGGCTCTTCCAGAACTAGCTATTCCATTGACTGGCTGTGGGGAATCCCCCATGTGGTCCCACAACCACCAGACTAGGTTTCTCAGCAGGGCTGCTTCTGAGTAGCCTTTGTATGTTTGTCTCTGTCTCTTTTCACAAAGGACATAATTTATAAAGTCTAACAGCATTCTCAAATTCCAGGATGAGAGAGCCAGTGGGGATGGGAGTTTAGTGGAGACTTTTTATGGAGCTAGATACCTCTGAGGGGAGCTAAAGCCTCTGCCACTACCACAACCAGCACTTCCTAAATCAGGTCATGTGGACTTATTGCTAAGGGCCACTGCCACCTGCCTTAAAACAAACTTGGGTAACTTCTAGCAACCTGATTCCTGTCTTTTCAGCCTCTCTCTTGAGCCAGATTAAGGTAGAAGATCTGAAATCACATTCCTCTAAACTCTACTGGTTACTCAAGATGTTCCAGAAAGCTTGCCAGCTTTTATTCTCAATATTCTTTCTTTTCCCAATCTTACATATTTTTTACATTCCTAGGGAGTTCCTGATACCTTGAGAAAATGGAAGATTTTCCTACATTAGCCATGAATTAATTACTCAGCTCTCTGGGCAAGCTGTCTTGCTTCCCCAAGGAACTATCTAGCATTTGATTCCAGACCTCCCCATCCCTAAGAGGGAAGAACAGGGAGCAGCTATGGGGACCTCTGTATGACAGGGCCACAGGAGATCTGGGGCACAGTCCCAGAAAGGCCATTGGGGCTCTCCATGAAACACAGGTCTTTGGCCACCATGATCCTGTGCCCCACGACCTTTTTTAAGTGAGGTAGCACCCTCAACTGGAAGCTTCCATCTTACTTGCCCAGTGCCCTATCCTGATGGGATAGAAACCTGGCTCCTGGGAAGAAGGTGCTTTGCTTGAGATACCAAACCTCTCTACTGTCATACCTTGAAGGAGGAGAGGTCTACAGTCTGGAAATGTTGCAGGGCTTCACTGAAGGAGATCAGCTGCCCAGGCTGGTCTGAGCTGGTCTGGTTCCCTGTGGCAAAAGAGGAAGACACCCCAGGATTTGTAACAGTAGTCACTGTGTCAGCAACCATTCACTGAGGCCTTCCAGTTGTCACCCCTAAGCCCAGAACTGGCTTCCAGCTATCAACATCAGACACCCAAAGCTATTACAACCAATCCTCTTTCAAGGGGCTGGCGTAATTTGCTGGGCCAACTCCCTTTTCGAATTGGGCTGTTCAGCAGCTTGAGCCGACGTATGCAGTGAGCATGGATAGATCTGCCCCTCAGGGTTCCCTAAATTCCACTCATCTGTGAGGGGGCAAGTCACTGACTAGAGTAGGTACCCACATAAGCGCATGCCACAGGTTTGCCTAGAGGTCTTTCCTAATTTCTACTTTGCCCCTTCTCACAATCTGTATATGGATGACCCCTTCTCCATTCTTTGTTCCAGTCCACAGGGAATTAACTTGTCATTTAACAATAACATCTCTCCAGGGCTCAAGCTAGATATGGGTTCTAGTTCTGCTTTCCTATAACTCTCAGAAAGGGATGTGAGAGTTTTCATCAAGCCCTCAGAGCCTTCCAGCAGATGGCTTCAGCCCTCAACTCCAGGGATTTCCTTGTAGAGTGAACAACCTGCTCAACCTTATGCAGGGCCCTGGCTCCTGCCTCCATCCTTATACCTAACCTCATCACCCTACAGAAGCTGACCCAGGCCGTCCTCCCTGTCATCTCTCAAGGTCGGGTAGATGGCAGCCCTTCCCCCATGGCATTTATTCCCATTTCCTCCAGAATGTCATCTTTGGATTTGGAAAGAGATTTTATTCAATGTCACACAGCTAAAATAAGAAGACTCAGGAAGTCTGTCTCCTAATCCCAGTCACAGAAACATGAGCCTCACATGTGGACAGTACCTTTACCAGTAGCAGATTGTATGGAGATAGTGCCATTCTTGCAGTTACCTGTCTCTGGCTGGATGCTGTTCACAGCTTCCCATTCTTCTTGGGCTCTGAGCACCTCTGGGCTCACAACTGCAACAGTGAGGAAAGGAGACCCTCTGAGATCTGGGTGGTCTGGGTTACTGTCAGCTCCCAGCCTTATCTGCCTGCCCTGGGTCTTGTTGCCCTCAGATACCCTCTTCACACAGCTGCCAGAGTGAGATTTTAGAAAGGGAGATCTGATGTCCTCTCGTGGCCCCCTTGGTCAAAACCCACCAGGGATTCTCCATAACTCTTAAGGTATAACCCAAGTGTTCACTACAGTATCTAAGTATCTTCACAATCTGGACCCTTTATACCTCTTTAGCTCTGCCCTAGGACATACAGAATAGCTAAAGTTTTTCTATACTTCCCACCTTCAGTGCCGTGGCACAGACTGCTCTCCCTCCGCTGACTGTCAGTACCCCAGGTGCTCTTGCCATCAGTTCCAACCCCTTCTGGTGTAGCTCCTTCTCATCCTGCAGTTAATTATGATTTCACCCTCACCTGGATGCCTCATCGCAGTATTGTGACTATCTTTCCCACTGCACTGAGCTACATGAGGGCAGGGCTCTCTAGAACCTAGCATAGTGCCTGACACATGATACTTGCTCAACAAACATTTGATGAGTGAATGAAAGCTCAACAAAAGGGGGGAAAAAGCAGAAGAAAAACAGCTCTCTATAGCCACTACATGGCCCTTTTCTCCAAACCACAGCTGTTGCTCTCTAGCCCAAATTGCCAGTGGTGTGTCCTGTCACTGGCTTTTCCCATTTGCTGTGGAGGACTTCAACAAATAGTGGAAAGGATGACTGGACTTCAGTTAAATACCAAAAATTATGATCCCTCCAGCCTCAGTGGTAAAGCAGTTTAGGACAGTTCCTCTCTGCCTTGAACTCTTGGCTGAGAACATCACATGACAATACACTGTTGTGAAAATATACTTGCTAATTAAATGAAATTCTATCAAAACCTCAAAACACTACTGGGTAATGAGGAAAAGAAAGCAGCTGGGAAGCAGTAGCTGATAGTTCCTGAAAGCACACTCTATAGCAGGGGTGGGGAATGTCCGGCCCTCAGGTTGTATCATTTGGTCTGGCCCAGCCAAGGCAACTGCAGGTGGGACTAAAAATTCAATAAATTCAATTAAATGTTTGACCAAATATAGCAGGCTAATTTTTAAGTTGATAATTTTGTATGGCCCATGAATGATGTTATAAATATCCAACTGGCCCTTGGCAGAAAAAAAGTTCCCCATCCCGGCTCTAGAGTTTACAGTTCATGAATGTTTCATCTCCACCACTTACTAGCTCTTTTCCTTTGGGGGAGTTACTTAACCACCTGTAATCAATCATGGGACTCCTGTGACGATGATGTAACTCTTCGAATTCTTTGGGGAGTATGTGGCCCAAAGGAAAATGCTCAATACATGTAGCTAGTGTTGAAGACAGAGTCATGGGCTTGGGTCTAGCAGGGCAATGAATAGTGGCGGCAGATGAGATGGGTTCAGAGTCCTAAATGTCTGGACCTCTGGGAAATTCAGTCTTGCCAGCCACAAACTCTAGGTGGGGCAGCAGACACAGAACCTCAGGGCTTCCAAGATGGATAACTTCAACAGACTACAGAATACTTAACCATGAATGGTAAAAAACAAACAAAACACTTCCCTCATTTCCCTGCATGCTGGACCCTTGGGAGATAAAAAGGAGGGACAAAGTGGTTGAACAAAAAGAGAAGAGTGGAACAGCAGCAATGAATGCTTATTAAGACGCTAAAGAGGGGCTCCTCACCCTTCATTTCTCACTTACACCCAGGTTTACTGACTCTTCACACTTCAGATCCTCATTACAAGCAACCTGACTGATCTTTCACCCCACACAACTCACCAACAAATAACTCGATCAAAGACTGTGATCAAGGAGCAGAAATGTCACCAGCAAGGGTGTAGAAATTTGCTGTGACAGCAGATTAGTCAACCGAAAGTACAGATCTCACCCTGGCCAGGTAGTTCAGTTGGTTAGAGTGTCATCCCAATACTCCAAAATTGAAGGTTCAATCCCCAGTCAGGGCACATACAAGAATCAACCAATGAATGCAATGGAACAACAAACTGATGTTTCTCTCTCTCTCTCTCTTTCAAAAAATCAATCAATCAATCAATAAAAAGAAAGTACAGGTCCCAACTAGCAATTGCAATCTGGGGCCTATAAACTGGAGACAAAGAGCACAAACTGTGGAAGAGTGTCTTTCCTTTCCTTTTGGAACCAGGTAGACTCCTTCCCCATCTGAAGATGATACTTACATGAATACTAATTTCCACCAACAGAAGATTATAGAGGCAAAACGGAAGTTTTCAGGATAATAAACACATTAGTATGGTTCTCTGTCTTTTTTCAACTGCCTCTTTCTTTAGGCTCTCTTCCACTTATTCACCTAGTAAACATCACTGCTGATTTAGTCAGCCTACTGCTTTAAATTAGCTGAGAGCAATCTCAAAATAAATTGTAATTGTTTAATACAATTAAAAATATCGGGCACATAATGCCAGTGGTACTGAAATATAAAATATTTTTTTAATTTAAGGTAACAAAATGCTATTAAAAGACATTTCATCGACTTCCAAATAATTTTTCTACCTTGGAATATTTTTAATAAGCCCCCTATTTTTGGAGATTAAAATTTCAGTTTGCAGAATGTAAAGATAACAATACATATCAACAAGTTCTCTCCGTGATTTACATTCTGCATGCTAAGCCCTTGACATTATCTCATTTAATCCTTTTAAAATCACCATCATACCTGTTCTGGTACAATCCATTCTACAGATGAGAAGTGAGGGTTAGAAAGATTAACTAACTAGCCGGAGGGTGAGAGCCAGTACCTAAATCAAAGCTGTATGGCTCCAGAACTGGTGTTTCTGAATTGGTGAGGGTGTCTTTCTGTGGAATGAGCTTTAAATATACAGGGTGGGGCAAAAGTAGGTTTACAGTTAAGAGTACTCGAAACACAGAGTTTATTCTTATATTACTATTTATTGTATTATTTTTCCATACAAACAACTGTAAACCTACTTTTGTCCCATCCTGTAATATAGGAAAGAACCATGTAAAGCAGATAAAATAGGGTGCTTTTTCAAAGCCTTTTTGCATATACTGTCTTATTTCATTATTATTGTATCTTTTTAAGGATAAAGGAAGTATTAATATTTCCATTGTAGACACAGAGATTATATGATTTGCCCAAAGGCACACAGTAAGTCACTAGCAGGGCTAGTGGAGCTAGATTAGAACTCAGATCTTGTGACTCCTCCAGGTTGATTCAAATTTTCCCTGAATAATGATAAATCTACAAAATTCTGTGGGACAAGTAGTGAGAAATTCAAATGATGAATATCAGGTCCACAGAGAGCTCTGACTTGGGCCCCACCCAGGCTCCAAGGGCCCTGAAGTGGACCTTACCGCCTGTTGCCCATCCATTAGCTTCTGTTGTCAGGGACCGGAGGACGCTGTGGTTCTTCAAATCCGAGATCTGCAGGGGCAGTGATCTTTAGTGTCAGGGTAGAATCAATGTCCCCCCAACCACACAAGCACATCCTACCCATTGTACTGAATGTCCTTCAAATTGGAGGCCAGAAGGATCTAGTCTACCCTGATGGGTAGATTAAAGCCATTCTTAAAGAGAGGCACCTGGAAAACTTCAGCTATGATGTAGAGGTTGGGTGATGTGGGGAAGTATATGCCTTCCATGAATAGTAAACTATCAAAAATTCACACAACTCAGCTGAGACTGTGGTGTGCCTTTGGTATTACAGTTGCACCTTATATTCTGCTTCACTATAGCAATTATTTTATTAGAGGTTGTTTTGCTTGTTTGTGCCCCACACCCCTTCTCCTGAGTGTGAGCTTCTGGAGGGCAGGATCTATGCCATCCTGTGTCATGGGTTCCTGGCACTACACAGCAGCATGCAACAAAAACTTGTATTGGCAGAGGTACTAAGGTGTGGGCAATATGTACATGAATTCCTCTGAAAGCCAGAAGAGCACTGTTGTCCTTGTCATATGGTGGAGAGTTCCCAGCAGACACACTATCAACCTGAAAGACAAACCAGAGTCAGGTTCCCAGGCACATGTCAGCCCCCAAAGATTACAGTTTAAATGTCACACCTTTTCCCAGTACCACACACACACACAAATGGATGAACTCCTAAGAAGTTAACTACAGGGAATACTACAAGGGAAAGCCTCTGTTTAATCTAGTTTTAAGAAAAACTGCAAAAAGATGAGTTAACGTTATCTCAAAAATCTTATACGATTTCCTGGCTTTGTTAAAGGTCTCAGGGCTCTAAATAAGTGAAGTTCAGTGAGGCAGTTCCCTCACTTTTGGCCTTTTTGCTCAGCCAAACCTTTTCCCCTATTAGAGCTTAAAAAAGCCACCTGGCCAACTTTTTGCAACTCATATCACCAAAATAGGGCTAATTTACCTAATACGTTAAAAATTAGTCCTATAAACCAGTAAGGAAAAAAAACCCAACCCAGTAGAAAAACAGACATAGATATGGACAGTTTAACACAAAAGGAAACACAAATAGTTCTTAAACATATGAAAAAATGCTCAACCTTACTCATGACAAGAGAAATGTCAAATAAAACTACTCTGAGATAATATTTTCACTTAGGATATTATCAAAGACCAAATACTGGAGAGTAAATTGTTACCACCTCTATAGCTTGACAATACCTGACAAAATCATACATGCTTTGTACATTCTGGGCCTGCAACTGCATTCTAGGATTCATCTAACAGATATACTCATTCATGTGCAAAATGAAATGCTTACAATGTCATTCGTAGTAGTACTGTTTATAATAGCAAAAAGGTAAAAAACCCCATAAATGTCCACTAATGAACTAATTAAATAAATTAAAGCATATCCACTCAATGAGAGCCTATATAGACATAACAAAGAATAAGAAAGTGCTTTATGGACAATATGAAACAATCATCACAATATATTAAGTAAAAATGCAAAGGGCTGATTATATACACTATTTTACCATTTGTATTTTTAAAAAATACATAAACATAATTGCTTGTCTCTGCAGAGGCTATTTCCAGAATTACACCCAAGGAAGTAGTAACTTTGCCTCCAACATAAAAACTAGGTGGCCAGGGGACAAGGGTAGAAGGCAATTTTTTCACAGCATATCCTCTATACTTCTGAATTTTGAACTATGTGAATGTATTATGTTCTGTAAAATACATAAAATAAAAAATAATAATTAAAGAACAGTAACTAATAAAGGAATCATTGCTTAAGCCAAGGCCCTGGAATCCCAGATTATCCCATTACTCTAATCCCTCCTACGAATTTTTGCTAACACTCCTTAAATTCAGTTTTGATTTTTTATGCCTGGAACACAAGAATGGACACCCTAAACACACCACAGCTGAGCCAACTCCTCCATACCGGCCTCATGATGCCTAAGCACTAGTGTTTCCCACTTCAATCCAATGAACACACTGTTGCAATTCTTTTCACTTCTATTCCTGGGGTCATGTCATTTTCCTCTAGAATACACACCCACCTCCAACTTCTCTGTGTCCTCTGTTCCCTTCAAAATTAGTTCCATCTCCTCAAGGTGGCCTACCTTACCAACCAGGGCTACAATGGTCTCTCACTTCTCTAAGTCTGAAAGCCCTTCTAAATGTACCACAAGTTTCTCTGCAGCAGCCTATCTCCCCAACCAGAACCTGCTGCTTTGAGCGTAGGGACCTTCTCTTACACAGTCAAACCTTGGTTCTCAAACGTCTCCCATCTTGAACAATTCCCTTCTCAACCTGACAACCCTTTCACGCTGATACCTGTATGATCAGCCACGCATCTCTCAGGCAACAAAGGAAAGAATGAGAGAGTATGAGTCAGTTTACCACTACATGTTGTTAACATCTCAGGAAACTGTGTTGTGAATATTTTCATGTTTTTTTGCTTTTGTTGCTTATTATTAAATTCTCATTTTTTACTATACATTTCATGTCCTTTTTGTTTTTAAAGCATTTATTTATAGATTAAACAGTACATTAGACATATACTGTATATAAGAAAGGTTAAAATGGAATCATTTTGGGATCTGGGATGGACTGATTCAATTTACATTATTTCTAATGGGAAAAAATGATTCCATTTTCAAACAGCCTTCTGGAACGAATTAAGTTCGAGAACTGAGGTTCCACTGTACTTCTTTTCTATTTCCCATATTCATTCACATAGTACTAATTCACAAAGTATGTTATCAAAAATATTTGGTGATTCATCATACTGAACAACTCCCTGCAGGGATCTGTGTACTCAGGATTCATTTCATCCTTCCTTCTCCTCTCCAGTTCAGTCCCCTCCAGGGTCCAAAGACTTTCCTTTCGAAATACAGTTCACCTGTCTTAGTACAGTGAAGAAATCTTCCTGGGCACCCAAAGCAAAGGCTTTGTCCTAGTTCCAGCCACTAAATCCCACAGGCTCCATTTAAAATACATTTCTGGTCAGGGCACATACAAGAATCAACCAATGTGTGCATAAAGGAGTGGAACAACAAACTAATGTCTCTTTCTCTCCCCCTCTCTCTCTAAAAAGAATATATTTCTGGTAAAAATCATGGGAAAGGTAAGGTTCACACAAAGACAGGTCACATTGAACCACAGCCCTGAGGATAATCAGGCCCAAGCAGTGTGTGACAGAAAGGGCCAATAAGGTAATAATCCAAACTGATGAAATACTGTACAAATTTCTGGGAAGATTCCTCATTGAAATTCTCCTTCCACCTAAGCAAATTCAAATCCAAATCCCATAACCCACTTAGAAAATAAGCTCTCAGGAAAGCCATCGACCCAGAGGTGAAAAAAGCTTCTTCTAATAGAACAAAGAGAATGATAATGAGGGTTTTTCCTAAACATTTTTCTAAACATAAAGCTCCAAATTCTCTTGATATATGCTCTTATTACTATTAATGATGTATCCCAAACCAACACCTTTTTTCCCCAAACAGAAGTGCTTGCCCGGCCGGGCGTGGCTCAGCAGTTGAGCGTTGACCTGGGATCCAGGTGATCAGGGTTCGATTCCCGGGTTGCGGGTTTGATCAATGACTCTCTCATCATTGATGTTTCTGTCTCTCTCTCCCCCTCTCCTTTCCTCTCTCTGAAATCAATAAAGATATATTAAAA